CGTGTTTCTGTGCAGCCTGTTTGTAAATGAACTGTACGGCAGCACAGGCTTGTTTCCTTTGCTCCTGGTTCAGATTCTCTCGGACGTTCACACGGTTTCTCCTCCTCTGTGTTTCCTGCAGATCTTCTGTTTGTACACGTATGCAAATGTTGAGTTTTGTAATTTAGCCGTGATGTCGTACGACAGATATCTGGCCATCTGTTGTCCTCTGCAGTACAACACACGTATGACGTCTAACAAAGCCGTTATCTTCATTATTGTGCTCTGGTTGTATTCCTCTGTGAAGTTCTTAGTTACTTTATTGTTAAACATCCGTTTGACACTGTGTGGGAACGTCATAGACAGTTTGTATTGTAATAACTTCCTCGTGGTAAAGTTAGCGTGTTCCGACACCACAGTGAACAACATCTACGGACTGTTTGGAATTTTTATAAGCATCTTAGTTCCTCTGCTCCCGATCCTGTTCTCCTACATGAAGATTCTCAAAGTTTGTTTCTCTGGTTCCAAACAGACGAGACAAAAAGCCGTCAGTACCGTCACCCCCCACCTGGTGTCGCTGCTCAACTTCTCTTTCGGCTGTTGCTTTGAGATCCTGCAGAGCAGGTTTGATGTGTCCAATCTTCCCAAAGTGCTCAGACTCATCTTGTCCTTGTATTTCTCTGTGCTGCAGCCTCTGTTGAATCCCATCATGTTTGGATTGCAAATGTCAAAACTACGGAACACGTGTAAACGTCAGTTGTGGTTTGTCGTGTTTACAGGCCACAGAGTCTCTGTGTAGAATCTCTCATCTGTCACAAGCTCCGTCCTGAATCTGGACACAGAGACAGTTACTGTGGGTGTCACCATGTTGTGACTGTGGAATATGGAGGTTTTTTCTATGACTTCCATGACTTGTTGGATCTATGTTCAGATTGTGTATCACTTTTCATCCCTTTCACTCAAATAGCTCCTGTTTGCACTTAAGTGTGATTTGCTAATACCATAATAATGATGTTACCATAGCAACCAGATGAAGCTTCATTCATCTTCTCCATTTCAAACAGAAAGACTACCCCCCCACAACCTGACTCCATCTACAAACCGATCAGAGTCAACTATAGGTAGACTCCGCCCACGTAGGTGATGACGACAGGACGTACGTTTAATCCCTAAATTACTGAAACTAAAACTGACAGAACGAACTATGAACAAACACGAAGCTTCAGACTCTCAGAGAGGAAACGTCTCAGAAGAAACTTTGACAAAACTAATAATGAACTTCACCAAACACCATTAGAGTTGATCCCACAGAGGCTGCGACTGTCCCTCAGGTCAAAGGTCACCGCAGCTCATCAACAAGTTTGTCCCTGAGGTGTCTTCACATGAGACACTGAGACCACTGGTTCCCTCAGAACGTCCAGAGCAGAGACCACAGAGACCAATCAGCTCTGGACTCCACAGAGACCGGATGATATCAAACAACAAACACTATGTTTGAACATGAGATGATTCGTGTTCTTCAACTGTTCACCACCTGGTAGAATAATAATAATAACTTTATTAATGTAGCACCTTCCATACAGAAAATGCAGTACAATTACATACAATATAGATGAAAAATATACACGTTAAAATGTAATTCAAATAAGAAGAGAACAGATATTAAGACACATGTTAAATTACATTCAAACAAAACAAATATAATATAATAATATAAATTAACATTTGATTTAAAAAACAGACAAGAAAACAGAAAAGAAAATGAGGTGTGCGGTGGTCCAGGGTCTCTGTCTCTGTCTGTCTCTGTCTCTGTACTCAGGCCAGTCCAGCACCCCCACCCTCTTCTTCAGCAGCCATGTCTTTGTCATGTGTGCAGAACGTGGTTTTGTGTTGTCTTGTTGAAATATGCACAGTTCCTCCAGATTCCTTGAATCTTTTAATGATGCACAATAACCTGGATGATTATCTCTTAAACACCTCAGAGATCATCATCTAATGATGACGCTGCGCTAGATGACATTACCCTCGCTTCCAATGAAACAGTCTTCTTTGATCCCTATTTGTCCTTTGATTCTCACTCAAACWMATTTCTAGGACCGCCTTCTTTCACTTACGTCATATCTCTAAAATCAGACATGTCTCAGAAACATGCAGAAACACTCGTCCAGGTCTTTGTCCCATCCAGACCTGATTATTGTAATTCCTTATTATCAGGCTCCAGCACTGAGTCGTTAAAGACTCTGCAGTTTGTCCAACATGTTGCAGCACGTGTCCTGACAAGAACCAGGGACAGAGACCACATGTCTCCTGTATTAGCTTCACTACACTGGCTTCCTGTTAAAGTTCTCCTCCTCACCTACATTAATAATATGACACCATCAACCTTTAAAGAGCTCAAAGTACCATATCACCACTAGAGCCCTGAGCTCCCAGAATTCAGACTAACTTGTTGTCCCTCAAGTCTCTAAAAGTAAAAGTCCTCTCCTGTGGAAGCATCTCAGGGTCAGTTCAGGAGGCAGACTCCCGCTCTGCGTTTAAGAGTCGGCTTTAAACCTTCCTTTAACATAAAGCTTATAGTGAGAGCTGGTCCAGACTCGTCTTAGATCAGCTCTGAGTTCTGCTGCTGTAGCTTTAGAATGTGGAGGAACACATGACACATGGAGCTTCTCTTTCCTCTGCTCSCTCCTCATCACATCAAATAAACGAATGTCTCATCAACACGTTACTGACTTGACTTCTTCCTCGGAGTCTCTGGGCCTTATCGCTCGCAGATCCACATCCCTGGTTTTTTAACATTTCAATAGTTTTCTCACACATTTGTTGGTGATCCTCTGTCCATCTTTGTACTAAATCATGATTTCAATCACCTGTTGACATCGACTATTTTAAATCACTTCATCTTTGAATCATTCTAACTCATTACTCGCCCTAAACTGCCCCCGTCCCAACTTTGTTTGGAACGTGTTGCAGGCCTGAATGGCAGGAATGGATGTATATTTAGAATTAAATGAAGTTGATAAAACATAAAATATCTTATGTTCATACTGTCTGCAATGAAAGTCAAATTAAATTTAGAAATCATTGCTGTCTTTTTTTATTTGTATTTTCATACTTTGTAAAAGTGCAGAGACAGAAGCTACATCTCAGATTTCCTTTTGGCTGGAACCTCTGATAGATTTGCTGCAGATGTTCTCAGTGTTCTTCAGAACCTCGTGTGTGAGGACGAGAACCTTAAAGTCGATCCTCAGACAGTAAAGAGTAAGAAGAACTTCAGACGTTCCATTTCAGAGATGCAGAACGTTATTCTGGACTTTTTATCAGTGTCAGCAGTGACATTAGGAGACCAAATAAAGCAGTACTGTTAACGATGTTAATGCTGTGTCTCCTGTAGGTGGCGCTGTCACTTACTTAAAGGTGAAAATATCTGAGTAAAGTATTTCAATTCAATTCAATTCAATTTTATTTGTATAGCGCCAAATCATAATATACATGATCTCAAGACTCTTCACAGAGAAGGTCAGGACCTTAAAATCTAAATCTAGAGAAACCAACAGGTGAACCATGAGCAGCACTTTGAGACTGTGGAGGAGAAACTCCTGATTAACAGAGAGAAACCTCAAGAACCAGACTCAGTGTGGAGACATCTGCCTCCACCGGGGGAGGAGAGAGACATGGGGAGGAGAGAGAGGGGGGAGAAGAGAGAGAGATAGTGGGGAGGGGGAAGTAGGGGAGAGGGGGGGCGAGAAAGACCGGGGACACTTGAGCGCCATCAGGTTTCAGATCTGACGAGTTTAAATGTAAACAACAGTGTAAAGACGATTAATTATTATTGATAACGGACACATTTGATATCATCATGAATTACTGAGATATTGTAATTAGTAATAGTAAAAGTTGTTGTCCTGAGGTTCTGGAGTGAGAGATATCTGAGATAAGAGAGAAAAAGAGAGAGAGAGACTATGGGAGGACAAAGTGAAACAGTCATTGACATTTATTAAAATAAATAAATGAGTGGGGGGGCAGAGAGACAGAGAGAAGTGGAGAGGTGCCCAGTCCATGATGGGAGTTCTCCCTCCGTGCATGATCTAAATTCCCACAACAATCTAGACCTATAGCAACATACTGTAACTAAGGGATGGTTCAGGACCTGATCCAGAACTTTAGACTTTATCAAAGAGGAACATTTAACTTTAACTTTAAATGTAGAGATGGTGTCTGACTCTAGAACCCAGAGTGGGAGCTGGTTCCACAGGAGAGGAGCCTGGTAGCTGAAGGTTCTACCTCCTGTTCTCCTCTTAGACTCTAGAACCACAAGAGAACCTGTGATCTATTTGGATAATATGGTGTTAGTAGGTCTTTGACATATGAAGGGGCTTGATTGTTAAGGTTTTAAATGTGAGGAGCAGGATCTTGATATTCTGGATTTTACAGGGAGCCGATGTAGAGAAGACAGGAGTAATAAGATCTGTCCTTCTAGTTCCTGTCAGCACTCTGCTGCAGCACTTTGACCAACTGGAGACTTTTCTCAGACTTCCTGTGACGTCCTGATAATAAAGAGTTAATCTAGTCTAGAGAACAAATGGACGAGTTTCTCAGCGTCCTYCTGAGACAGGATGKTTCTRWTGTTYTTAATATTGYGCAGGTGGAAGAAAGCTGTCCTAGAGACTTGTTCTATGTGTTGGTCAAATGTCCTGGTCCAACATAACTCAAGGTTCCTCACAGTGGAGCTGGAGGACAAACTCACACCATCAGTAAAGTATCTGAGTAAAGTATCTGAGTAAAGTATCTGAGTAAAGTATCTGAGTAAAGTATCTGAGTAAAGTATCTCAGTAAAGTATCAGTGTAAAGTATCTGAGTAAAGTATCTGAGTAAAGTATCTCAGTAAAGTATCTCAGTAAAGTATCTCAGTAACGTATCAGTGTAAAGTATCTGAGTAAAGTATCAAAGTGTTTTAAATAAAACATAATATTTATTGTTTGTCAAAGATCAAACTCATCGACTCTTCTTTTGCTTATTTTAATACAACATCACATGATGGAATTTATTGTCTTTGATTCAAACACGTTTGCTGGAGGATCTTAAGAGCAGACTTTTACATAGGAGGCGTATTTTGGACATGTTCAGACCGTACATGATGGAGTTGAAGAGCGGCTGACATGTGAGAAAGTACAAGGATAAAAATATTCTCATCACAAGAGGTAAAGTGCTCATATCGAACCTGCTCTGTAATACTTCGAAACAAACCCCGCAGGAGAAGTTGAGCAGAGAGAGGAGGTGGGGGGTGCAGGTGCTGACGGCTTTTTGTCTCGTCTGTTTACAACCAGAGAAACAAACTGTTAAAATCCTCACGTAGAAATAAAGACTCACAGACACAGGAACACAGACTGTGAGAAAAGCAGCCACCAGTTCATAGATGTTATTGACTCTGGTGTCAGAACAGGCCAGTTTAATGACGGAGTAGTTATCACAGTAAACTTTGTGAATGATGTTTCCACACAGCTGTAGAGACCACGTCAGAAACGTTGTGACAAAAACTGCAGCACAGGGAGGTAACCACACAACTGCAATGAGAAAAGCAATTTTATGAGGCGTCATGTGTGTGTTGTACTGCAGAGGACAACAGATGGCCAGATATCTGTCGTACGACATCACGGCTAAATTAAAAAACTCCACACAAGCGTAAGAATAAACACAGAAGATCTGCAGGAAACACAGAGGAAGAGAAACCGTGTGAATGTCCGAGAGAATCTGAACCAGGAGCAAAGGAAACAAGCCTGTGCTGCCGTACAGTTCATTTACAAACAGGCTGCACAGAAACACGTACATAGGTT